CTATGGGATGCTGCTCTGTGGTGGGACACAGCCCCATGGTGAGATAGAGCCCCATGGTGGGACACAGCCCCATTATGAGATGCTGCTCCCCCATGGGATTCTGCTCCATTATGGGATTCTGCTCCATTATGGGATGCTGCTCCATTATGGGATGCTGYTCCCATTGGATTCTGCTCCCCTGGGATGCCGCTCGATGATGGGATGCCCCTGCCCCTTCCCACACCCCTTCCCTCCCGTTCCCGCTGCCCCCTCACCCGTTGGGAAGGGGGGACGAGCAGCCCCGGGAGCCGTGGGGCCGCCCCTTCCCGGAGGTGCCTGATTCCCTGTTTACACACAGCCTGGGCTCCGAGCCGGGCTGGGGATTAATTCCCAGGTCTTTTCATCCACTCTCAGCTCTCGGGGACACACGCCACCTGTCTGGGCTCCACCTCGGGTCCGTGTTTTTGAGGACATGGCTTGTCTCTCCTTTCTGCTGCTAAACCCCTCTCCTGGCTTTCCCCACTCAGCTCTCCTCCTGGGAAACTTTGGGAATCTTCACTTTGGGAATCACAACCTGGGGATTTATGTGCCACAGAGGGGTTTGGGGGTCTGCAGTGACCCCACTGAACCAGTTCCTAATCAGGTGTGAGCTTAAAAATCCCTGCGGATCCGTGAGGGCAACAGTCCTTAGGTACCTTTTGGTGACTCTTTCTAGCCCGTCAAAAAGTGCTTTTTGGTTTTTCTACCTTTTCATACTATTTTTCTAATTCTTCTACGGAGAAGGCCAGTTGTTCTCACACTGGGCTCCAAACTTTTGGCATCTGGGAATGTTTATAAGCCACGAGTAGCTTAGATGGTCCCAGCCCTCCCATGGTGGCTTTCAGCCCCCCACAATTCCCCAGTTTTAATCTTTTTACTACAGTTTTAGGATGAGGGATGGATGAAGTGGTTTTCTCTGCAGCTGGTTTCACTCGTGGTGTCACCAGGCAGAGATGTAAATACCCCATCCTGGCYCTTGCCTTTCCTTTTTAATCTGATTTTTCGCCACAGAGAGTGAAGTGCAGCCGGTCTGACCCGGGGCTCCCACCCCACYCCTTCTCAAACTCTGTCATAAAGTGATTTATAACAATTTTTTAAATGACTTGCCTCTTTTACAACTCGAATTCTTAATACTTAGACGATGACAAAATAAACCTGCATGACTGTGGGGGAGCGGGGCAGGGGAAATTTTTTGAATTAACCCAAACTACTCATTGAAGGTGTTTTACATTGCTGGGCTTGATTTTGTGCTGGCTGTGGCRTTGCCATTGGTGTGCTGCCAGGTATTTCACCCCACTATTTCTATTTCCACAGATCTGCCTTTGTTAGCCAAGCAGAGATTGCTGCCAAGGTTGTTTTCCCCTCCTCACAACCAAAAACCCCTCCATCCCGATGCTGGATTTCCAGCCTGGTCTCACAAACGACATTCCACTACCCCTTCCCAAGCTTTTAAAGAAAAAAAAAATAATCTGGAGTACTGGAAAAAAAAAGGACTTTTATTGTCTGCAGCACCCAGCAGGGTTTGGGGGAGGGGGTGGCTGTAGGCGAAAGACGGTCGTGGTGTAGCGCATCCCCATCCCACATGGTCTGTGTACTCGTTGGAAATAAACTTTTGGATTTGTTTCAAGCCTTTGGAGATGGTTCTCTGTGCCTCTGGGGAGGAGGGTTCCCGTGCTGGTTGGGGCTGGGTGCTTTTTCTGAGGGGGTTGAAGGGGGTGTCCCTGTCAGGGAGGGTTTAGAAGGAGTTTTGGTTCCTGTCAGGGGAGGGAAAAGGAACTTTCTTGGGTTTTCAGCAGATTTTGTTCCCTGAGGATGAGCCAGAGCAGGGGAGAACAGCCTCATTCAGGGTGGGGCATTGCTCCTTGCTCTGAAATTGAGAAACACCTAAAATTTCCAACTTCCATCCCTTCTCCCCTCTCTTTCCTTCTCCTCCCAGCCCTGGCAGTTGCACAGGAGTGAGATCAGAGGAGCTCATGGAGCTGCTCCAGGGCTGGAACCCCTCTGCTCTGGAGCCAGGCTGGGAGAGCTGGGGGAGTTCACCTGGAAAAGAAAAGGCTCTGGGGAGACCTCAGAGCTCCTTCCAGAGCCTAAAGGAACTTTATAAAGAAGGGCAGGTTTTTATAGGGCCTGGACTGACAGCAAAAATGTGTTTTAACTGAAAGAGGGTTGATTCAGACTTGGTATGAAGAAGAAATTTTTTTATGAGGAGGGGGTGAGGCCCTGGCACAGGGTGCCCACAGAAGCTGTGGCTGCCCCTGGATCCCTGGAAATGTCCAAGGCCAGGCTGGACACTGGGGCTTGGAGCACCCTGGGATAAGGGAAAGTGTCCCTGACATGGCAGGGAGTAAAACTGGATGATCTTTAAGGTCCCTTCCAACCCAAACCATTACAGGATTTTGTGATTCCATTATTCTTACTCTCTCTACTGCCAAACCACCTTCTGATCACACAATCAAACATCCTCTGCTCCTACCAATTTCTCCATATCCTGAATTCTCACTCTGCTTTCCCAGGACCCCCAAGGGCGAGTGTTTTCCCAGCAAAGCAGCCAGACACAGCTTGAGGCTGCTCTGCCTCAGCTCATTCCCGGGGCTGGGAGCAAGGCAGCCCCGTGGGTTCTGTGATAAACCCACCAGCGCTGAGCCCAGCGTGGATCTGTGCAGCCATTCCATTTTCCAAGCATCCTGGTGAGCAGCAAGATCATCTCCCAGCCCCTTCCATCCTTTTCCATGCCTGTCAGAGCAGCCTGAAAGCAAAATGGTGCGGCAGGGAAGGAAGGAGCCAAGCTTCTCCTCGCCTGCCAGGCAGCTCAGCTGTTCCGAACCTCCCTGGCTCCCTTCCAGCTCCAACGCTCGCTCCTTTCCATCCTCACCTCCCCGGGATGCAGCTCCGGAGCGGCAGCACCTCGGAGCCAGCAGCATCTGCGGAACGGGAGGAGGTGCGGAGCATCCGCGGGGAGCGTGGGAGGGATGCGCGCCCCGCGCCGGGTCCCTAATGARGAGAAACCCATCTGCACTAATTGCATTCATTAGCTGCGATGGGGAGTGGAGAAAAGAGGCACGGAGATCCCGGGGATGGGTTTGCCCCGTGTGCTGTTACAGCGGGGAAAGGGGATGGTTCTGGAATSCRGGGTGGAATCCAGAGTGAAATCCAGGGTGAAATCCCGAGTAAAATCCCGGGTGAAATCCAGGGTGGAATCCAG